TTCGAAATTTTTGAAAAATTATATTCCCATTTCTAATGACTTAAATTTGCTCAAACTTTAAAGTTTAGCTAATTTATATGTGCTTTATCTATAAACAACATATTTCTGTAAGATTGTAGCACTTTTAAAATTTTCAGTCTCAGGCCCCTGCTCATTTTGTTATTGGCTAATTATGAAGTGGCTGCGCAGGTACAGAGTCAAAAGTGAACTACCGGTTTCCCTGTGTTTTAAGAACGAGGCAATATATTATGAAGTGGCTATGCGGCTACGGGGTCAGAAATTGAAAACCGGTCTCTCTTTTGTTATTGGTATTTTGGAATCCCTGTGCCTATCAGTGCGTAGGCACATAGCCAGTCAGTGAAAGTAGTTTATTGCATAGCCTGTGGGGTTCTGTTGCAGGCCCTCCCTATTTTTCCTCCCCACTTCCCGCTCAGCCGGCCCTCCCTAATCCACTTAGGGCCACTACGCAGGCTATTTATTGCATTTTGGTATCCCTTTGTCTATCACTGTGTAGACGCGTAGTCGGTGGCTACAGGTATAGATTGTGTGTGGCAGGGTATTCTGCAATCTATCCTTCCTGTCAATAAGCATTATAAACAATGATATTCTTATAACTTTGATGACCAAACCTAACCCTCTCACCTAACCCTACCTACATGTAACCCTCTCACCTAACCCTACCTACATGTAACCCTCTCACCTAACCCTACCTACATGTAACCCTCTCACCTAACCCTACCTACATGTAAGTCTTTAGTCCTGAATAGTTAAATAAATGATAAAAAATATTTTTAAATCACACTTATTTCAACAACTGTTTTCAAGGATGATGGTAGGCGTGGTGATGTGTTTATGAGACAAATARAACCAGTGGCTGCATATTTACCTTACATGACATGCCCTGGTAACCATGAGAGCTACTAGTAAGTGTTCGTGTCCCCTTATTCACCTGACATTATTGACAGTTGATCATTCATTCATTAGCGTCAAGTTTATTTTTTATTTTTCAGCAATTTTTCTAACTATCGATATAGGTTTTCTCATAATATGCCAGGGAACTATGATCGTATGTATTACAGGTACGTCAGTTTATTCATTATTACGTCTTATTTATATTAATTTGTGATGTTTGTGCTATAAGTTTCTTTGCTTGCTTGTGTATTTTCTAAAGCTTGGGTTACTCTGCAAAAGCTACAGTTTGATGTTTCATTTTTGCTTTTCTGTAGTTGGAACATTGGCCCAGCACACATCATCAGTTTAACAACAGAGTATTACTTCTACCCAAACTGGTTTACACACATACAAGGAAGCCAGCAATATGATTGGCTAGAGAAAGATTTGAAGGTTCGTCTGTATTAGTTGATGATAAAAAAGT